CGAACCGAAACCAATAAAAACCGAACAAAACCGAACCGAACAACACACACACACACTTTGTATTTATCTTCACTCTTCATTTTAAGATATAAATAAAAAAATTAGACATGAGAATGCATATTTAAGCATATACTCGTATTATTTTAACTTTTACACATTTCAAACATTCATTATGACAAAGTTAGCTAATACGACATATTTGTATTTATTATGGTTGGTGATATCAATAGCAAATTGTATTTCTATTTCTATTTCTATTTCTATTTCTATTTCTATTTCTATTTCTATTTCTATTTCTATTTCTATTTCTATTTCTATTTCTATTTCTATTTCTATTTCTATTTCTATTTCTATTTCTATTTCTATTTCTATTTCTATTTCTATTTCTATTTCTATTTCTATTTCTATTTCTATTTCTATTTCTATTTCTATTTCTATTTCTATTTCTATTTCTATTTCTATTTCTGTGTGAGTCTTTGGTTTAGTTTGTTTCAATTGGTTTAGCAGGTGAAGGCAGGTTGTTTAAGCTAGGTTCTAGTATTTCATTTAGTTGGAATTTCAATTGGCAGGTTGTTTAAGCAGGTGAAAGCAGGTTGTTCAATTGGTTTGGTGAAGGCTGGTTCTAGTATTTCATTTAGTTGGAATTTCAATGAAAACAAAACATTCAAAATTACTCAAAGTGGATTGTAACATATGAAACAAGACATAATCATTTTCAAGTTTATAAACCGAACATCAAACCGAACCGAACCGAATTTTTCCCAAACCGAACCGAAACCAAACCGGAATTCTTTTGGTTTGAGTTTGTTACTATTTTCCTCAAACCGAATAAACCGAAACCGAACCGAAACCGATAAAAACCGAACCGTAAACCGATTCGCCCACCCCTACTAATTATTGTTGAACACTTTAAATTGAGAGATAAGAAAAAACCCAATGCGTTTTATACTTTACTCATAAAGCATTTATGGTATACCATTAATAATACTTTACTCATAAAGATAAGAGTATTCGTATCTATCTTGGTGCAACTAAATTAAAGTTTAACTTCAGTTTTCAGTTTAGATTTCATGGTATACTTTAGGATTTTTATACTTTGGAGTGATTTGGTTATTGGCTGATGCATAATGTATGATATCATTAATAAAAGAATATATTCAGTATTGTTGTTAAAAATTGATACTTTTTCAGTTTACAACGAAGTCGGGTGTAAGTTACTCATAATCATAACATTATGATGCTTATACGATAAAATTGCCAAAAACATGATAATGTTCAGTAACCATTCCCAATGTAATTACATGATGTAAACTCACATAATAGTCTCATATAATATGATATTTCAGCTTGTAAGCTTTTGAAATATCACCTGCTAATAGCACAGAAAGTATAGACAAAGGTTTCTCCAATGTATGCCTATAGCAGATCTGTAGGGGCCTGAAAATGTCAGGGTTAGAGAAAAAAAAATTTGAAAATAGAGAGTATGAAGATAAGTACGTTCTAAAAACTGTGAAAGACGTGGGAGGGAGTAATTGTCTTCAATTGTAATTATTTCAAAGCAAAGAGAAACACATGGTATAACAAATGAAAGCATAGATATCAGATGTGGAGAGTTGATGAAAAGCAAGAGTGGAGGATGAGGGTCTGCAAATAGCAGCGATGCTATCACATCAAACACAAAGGAAAAGGAAGCATTAGATAACATTACTTAATCGGAGAAGATGGGGCTGATGACACCTAGGATAGAAGGGCAGAAAATTTTGATAATGAGGCATTCTTTTTTCTTATATATGGAGTATAATGGAGAGGAAGTATTTATTGAAAAATTGTAAATTCAATAAGCAGTTGCTATCCCGATGTAAATAAGCCTAGTTAATGATGATCATATATAATCAGTTTTTAGTGTAATTTTATAAGTTACATAATCTAACTTTGTTTTAAATGAGAGATTTGGTTTGAATTCTACGAATTCTTTTTTAATTAATCACAACTAATAGCTACCCTGAGTGAGAACATAAGTGATTGCATATGAAACTAATGGGAGCAATGATTTGAATTGTGTCAAAACCATAGATTTTGTTGAACACATTAAACTGTGCATTGCAAAAAAATATCTTTCACATATCTGCACATATCTCTTCTCCTCAAACATGGAACTTATACCCAATTTTGACACATAATATAAGCAGTGGCTACGTAAAGTCTATAAGGCTAGTTACTTAGGATCATCTTAAATTACCTGTTTTTTTTTAGTTTCATTTCGAATTTAGATTAACATACTTCGTATAATCTAAAGGTCTTCCTCTTTTTCGCTGAGCACAGCTCTTCTCCTTTTACTTCTCTCATCAGAATCCATCCGAGCTCAAAAATATGGAATCAACTTCTCTATTTCGGTTTTTAAAATCAGGTTTTGATTCCCTTTTTAGTTTTCTTTGAAATTATTAATCTCACTTCTTTGAATTTAGCAATCCAAAGTTTGGTTTATATCCAGAGTTTCAAATTGTCTTAGTAGTTTACGTTTCTAAGGTGTGTTATATATAACTTTTTTGCTGAGTAATTGCTGAGGGACTAAGAAGAAAAGATTAGGTTCTTTCCTCTTATGCATTTCATCTTGCTGTAGTCTGAATGAAATATAGAAAAATTGTTCTTTGCTGCATATAGAAGAGTGACTTAATGTGGTTGCTCTTCTTCCATTTTATATGCTTTTAAAAGATCATAATGAATAACCATAGCTGGGATTCTGGGAAGTACATTTCAATTTTTGTGTCTTAAATATGTGTTTGATCTGTTTATATTCATTTTAAGCCATTAAAGTGGTGAACGTGGCTCTCTCAATTTTTCTCTTTCTATTAAGCATTTAAACGTGAGCCTGGGATTTTCTTTCTTCTTACACAAACAGGTGGGATTATTATCTCTTCGGCTCTGTGATTTTGCTTATTGCTCTGTGATTTTCACTTGCTCGGTCACGACTCTCATATATTTGAGAGGATTTCTGAGCACATCAGTGATTCCATCTTCTACTAACAATCTTTGAGAGTCCATCCCAATCGATTGCCTGGATTGGAAGGTCCATCATCATCGATTTATGGCATTATTGGTTAGTTTTCTATCTCAAATCTAACTCTTTTTATTTATATATTTTACATGTCATATTATAATCTATTTTTTTTTTCGCCTCGATTTTATCTGTAACCCTAGAATTAGATGAAAGTGTATATCGAATATATCAATTCTCCAATGACCTCAAATGCTCCCTTCAAAGTTATTTTAAAGGATGTTAATATGCAGTTGGATATGGCTCCAAGCCATATGTGAATGAAATGTTTCTCATCAGTCATGAATGAGGAGGTACAACTCTTATTATTTTCTTACTATAGTTAGATACTTAGATGTATTGTAGCTTTTCTCTATGCACATTGCATATCTCATTATTGATTGTACTTTCCCTCTGTTGCTCACTCTGCAATCTGCAAATTCAGCTTCCTAAAAATGGTTGGCATTTGTTATAAAAACCTATGACTTTTTCTATTTCGTGTGACTGATGTAAAAAAACACAAATCAATGGATAAAAAAATAGAAAGAAAGAGAAGTATTGCGAGTGATTTCAAAAGATGGAATGAATCAATATAGATATAATGATGACACCAGAGGAAAGGTTGAGCACTAGCAATGATAGAAAAATGAGAGAGGTAAGTATGAAACAGATTTATGTTTAATATATCCAAGTGTTTGAAACGTTGGTTCCAGATGTGTGACTTTGGTTATAACAAAAGATGTGTGACTTTGGTTATCCCAAAAGATCAAGGTAGTGATGCAGAATAGTTCTTTAGATTAAACAATTGTAGATAATATATTCCCTAACGTCACTTTTACTCTTCTGTTCTTTTATATTTGTAATTGCAATTATAATAATTATAATTATAATTATAATCATAGAAACATTCAAATCAGATCAGATCAGAAAGATTCAGATCAGATCAGAAGGATTCAGATCAGATCAGAAACATTCAGATCAGATCAGACCAGATCAGAAACATTCAGATCAGATCAGAAAGATTCAGATCAGATCAGATCAGAAAGATTCAGATCAGATCAGATCAGAAAGATTCAGATCAGATCAGATCAGAAAAATTAAGATCAGATCAAATCAGAACTTAAAAAATTCAGATCAGAAACATTCAGATGAGGCGAAGAGAACAGCTTCTAAATCTTTTGAATTTGGAAAGTTTAAGAAGCTGTTCTGTTCGTCTTAATCTTATTACTTATTACTTATTCTTATTTTATTCAGATCAGATCAGATCAGAAAAATTCAGATCAGATCAGATCAAATCAGAAAGATTCAGATCAGATCAGAATCATTCAGATCAGATCAGAAAGATTCAGATCAGATCAGAAAGATTCAGATCAGATCAGGAACATTCAGATCAGATCAGGAACATTCAGATCAGGAAGCTGTTCTCTTCACCTGATCTGAATGTTTCTGATCTGAATTTTTTAAGTTCTGATATGATCTGATCTGAATTTTTCTGATCTGATCTGATCTGATCTGAATCTTTCTGATCTGATCTGAATGTTCCTGATCTGATCTGAATGTTCCTGATCTGTTCTGAATATTTCTAAAATTATAATTACAATTATAATTACTATAATTATAAATGTAATTACACATATAATTTAACAATGAGACAAATTTAACAATATTTTTTTAAAAAAAAATATATTAATACATTAATAAATAAAATGTAGTCAAAGTAGAGTATGTGAATAGTGTAAAATTAACATGTTGCATTTATTTAAGAATAGCACGTACGTAAGAGACCATTATCCGAATTTCGTCCAACTTCCTCAAAACGGCCAAACCTTCTCCCACCATTGTTACATTATACTTCTACGTATCTATCAGATCGGATTTTGTGGTGAATTAGAGTAATCGTAATCCAACTTTGTTTTAAAAGCGCACAGGCAACATAAAATAATTCGATTAATTCCTTTTCGGATTCGGGGTCCTCAAAACTACTATTGGGAGATCATATCGAGTAAATCTTTTGAATTTGGAATGTTTAAATCTGGTAGGTCTCCTTTATATATGCACGGACTCTGTTAAAAAAGAATTCACTACGAACTTATTTTCTAACATCTTAAGGTTTCCTAGTCTCAAACGATCCAAAATCCCTTGTTATGTACTTCGTAAGTTATTATGAATGAGCAAATACTTGCAGAAATTCTAATCCGTTTGCCGCCGTATTCGGTTTACAGATTCCGGGCAGTATCAAAATCATGGAACGAGTTGATTTCTCATCCCTATTTCATCAAAAAATACGACGGCCGGCAACGGCGGCCGGATGATGTTGGTTTGTTACGCTTAATTATGGGAGATATGTATTGCCCCTGCAGTTTCTCCCATTCAAAGACGCCCAAGAAATCGCTTGAATGCGATTTTCTAGATCTTATGGTAAGCCGCATGTTTCTAGAACGGCTCAAATTCATAAATACCTCTAACGGTTTGATTCTCTGCAAAAGTGATCGCTATGAGCAGAAGTACCTCGTTCTGAACCCGATTACAAAAAGGTCGGTGACCTTGCCGCCGCCACCGTACTCGCGTTCAGCAGGATCCATCGGGTTGATGTGCGAAGAGAACAAAAACCAACTGTCAGCCAAGTACACCGTCGTCCGTACTGCCGGCGAAGGCGAAAAGGGTACTATGCAGATCGTGACTTACTCTTCAGAGACAGGGGTCTGGGTCGCAGCCAAACTGCCGGTGATCGCCGCCGCCGCCGCAAAAGAAGACATCTACTTCTATTTGTTCCGAGATCCTCCTTTAGTGATGAATGGCGTTTTCCACTGGTACCAGTGTACCACTACTCCGACCAGGGGAGGATCTATGTTAGGGCTATGGTGGGCTGAAGCCCAGGGCAAAGTAAAAAATAATTATTTTTTTAAAGTATTATTTTTAAAAAATTCCATCCAGCCCACCCCAAATTTTTCTATAACCCAGTCCAATTTTTCAGCCTAGCCCATAAAATAAAATCTAACCATCTAAAAATCTAATCTAAATGTATATACATCACCTCCCACTTAATAAATGGCACTTAGTATATACGTATAAGAGCCATAAAACCCATAAATGTAATAAATACAATAAAATATGATTCAATTAAGAGCTTGATTGGCATGACATGTTCACAACAACTTGTAAAGTGCTTGAGTATCTTCAAGTAGTGCATTGCTCAAAAGTGAGTTCTCGGGCAGAAGTTCTTAATGTATATAGACACTTTCCATGTTTTAAATTTATGTTCAATTTACTTTTTATGGACAAAGTTATGGAATAACAAGTATTCTCTGTCAAGGCCTTCAAAAATATTATTGAATATCTTGGTAGTCATGAGATATGTTTCTACTACACAACTTTATTCTCGGGGGAATTGACATAAAATGGATGAGAATGTTTTTTTAAAGAAGTAAATGAGTTTTACTCAAAACACGAAATTCATGTACCTGAAGTGAATTCTAAATGAATGGTTGGTCGTTGCCAATAAGAAACACAGTTGAGCATCATTATCACTTTGATATTTTCAATAAGGCAATAGACTTTATATTGATGGAGTTAAGGACCTGATTTAATGATAAGTTAGTGGAACTCCTTTCTTTGAGTGCTTCATTGGATCCCAAAAATTCATGTGTCATTCAATGTCGATGCTATTTGTACTCTTGCAAGGAGTTCTATCCCCAAGATTTTAGTAGTCAGGATATTCATGCTTTGGAATTCGAACTACAACACTATGCTCATGATGTGATTCATGATACAAAGTTTGAAGTGAATTATGTGAGGAATTGACTATGAGTAGAAGATCCGATTCATATGTTATGATGAACAGATTGTTTCGCCTTTTATTAATCTTACTGTTTCTACTGCAACACTAGAACGATCATTTTCTCCATGAAACTTCTAAAGACAACACTTTGCAACAAAATGGGTGATAACCTTCTTGCTGATTGCATGATACACTATATTGAAAAACATCTTACTATTAGTATAGATGTATACTCTATTATTGATGAGTTTTTTTTGTTTCAAAGCCCCATCGAGAACAAATTTAGGGGAAAACTCTTATATATATATTTTGTTATTTTAATTTTTTTAATGTATTATCATTACAAGTGTTTCAGCCCACCCCAGCATGAAATCCTGGATCCGCCCCTGACTCCGACGACACGGGCACATTAACATTAGCGCTTTACCACCCAAACGGTGACGCCGCAGTCTTCGATATCCAAAGCTACAATGGCTTTGGAAATCACTCCCTCGACTCAAGCGCTATTACGAGATCATCCATTGAAAATGGTGACAATTTATGGTTTGCGGTGCTTGACCGCGAAACCATGAGAGTTTTCGTGCTCCCAAAGGGCACTCAAGGGTGGGTGTTAGCGTACAGTATCAGTGTTAAATCGCTCTTGAATGACACGGCCTCATCAGGAAAGAGGAGTAGAGGGCGGATATTCTTCAGTGGCTTGGTTCCAATGAATAATAAGAGGACTCCGGTTGCTGTAATCCGGAGGGAAGAATTCTGGGGGGTATTTCTTTACGACTTCGACACCAAAGCCGTTCAATCTGTGTCATATTATGGACATTCCATTGCCACCAAATGGAAAGCACTCATCCATGGCTCTGGTTTTCTAGCTCATTATCCCTATTTACGGCCTTCATCTCTTTCTACATTCGCTCTTTAAGTGATAGATTTCCTAATTGATAAATTAGTTTAGCACTTCATATATTTTTATATTTGTAGTTCTTATTTAAGCTTTACTTCTCATGTAACGACGTTTGACATCAATGCTGAGTTCATGGTATTTCTTGGGAAGTATGAAGATGCCTTTTCTCAAACTAATTCCAATTTTAAATATCAAATCATCAAATCATTAAAGTTAATACCGGTATCAATATGGAAAGTTCCCGAAATAGGACTAAAACAATTTGAAAATTCCAAAATAGTACTGTCATGTTTTTTATTCCTAAAATAGGAGTAATTACTGCCAAGTTTGAAAATACTGCCATGTTTGAAGTCTAGTACTGCCAAAACATGGCAGCAATTAGTCCTATTTTGGGAATAAAAACATGGCAGTCCTATTTTGGAATTTTCAAACCTTTTTAGTCCTATTTCGGGTAATATTCTCATATCTGAATGATATGTGATACGGAGTAATACACGGCATTTAAGAGCCTGTTTGGTAGCACGAAAATCGGCTGATTCTGCTGATTTAAGAAAAAACATTTTTAAAATATATTTTGTTAACAAAATAAAGAAAAAATTATATGTAAAAATAACTTAAATGATCATCTATATTAACTTCAGGCAATACAACCATAAAAGTAATTCCAACCTTACTTTTTTTTTGCTTATGACACAATTCAGCGCGCGAAAGCAAAAGTTACACGTTTGGTTAAAAAGTTGGCTGATAAGCCTGATAAGCCGAAAAACAGTGTTGCCAAACGGCCTCTAAATATTATAGGATATGATATTGAAGTTTCTTATATACATAATTAATATGAACCGTTAAAACCATCAATATAAAAAAATTCTTTCTTATATTTTTCATGATTATTTAACTATACATGACTTTAAAAAATAACAATAATATACTCCCTTCGTTCCCAATCGTTTTGCAAAAATGATTTACGAGTTTTCATTAGGCATAAAGTTAACCCTCCTTTTACAATTCTTATGTTATTTCATAGCAAAAAATATTTGTACATCTTGAATTAGATTAAAAGTTCTACTAAATTGCAAACTTCAAATCTAAAAATAATTACAACTCATGGCGATGGGTTAATAGATTCTCCATTACAGGTCTCATATGTGGAGAAATACGATTCGAACTTCCTCCTAGGGCAGAGCCGCCGCTAAGTCATTTCCGATTTCGATTTTTCTTGATCGAAGTTCGGTCAATGTTTCCCTAGCGAGATATCTCGCGTAGGGTTTTTACTTCGCCGCCCTGGTGCGTCGTTTCTTTCAATCGAAGCAGCTCTGCGCCGGATTGCCGTGGTTTGGACATAGCTCGGGATGGATGATCGTGGCAGCGAGAAGATGGTGGAAGAAGCGAGAGAAACATAAGGATGATTGGGACATGGTTATCGTGGAGAGGCTGGACGCTCCATTCGATGGCATGGATTTGAGTCATACTGTGGGTACACCACTGAAAGAAGGTATCAATCGAGTGATGGTCCGACCTCCGCCTGAACCACCACCATGGGTTGTACGAGGTGCTAGAATCCGTGAAAGTTTTCCTAGTTATTTTTATCTGTTTGTCATTTGTTTTCTCGTGTTCATCTTTGTTGTTAGTTTTGACAATTTGTTTGAGTTTTTAGCCTCTCTTTATGTCATTGTGTATGGTTGGATCTATGAGAACAAGTTTGGTTGTGTCAAGCTCACTACATGGTTAGCGATTCGTGTTGCTCTTTCAGGGGTGACCGTCTCAAAGTCTCACCATAGGGTTACAGTCGTAGTTGTTGGAGTTTCAGTTAGTGTCAGTTTTATTTTCCCTTTACTTGATGTAATGATCCTAAATCTTTTGATATGAATAGAGACTTGTTTTGATGAGAAAAAAAATAATTACAACTCAATACTCAAAATTAGAGAATAAAGTTATACCGTGTCGATCAAGTACATAACTAATTTCTTGAAATTATATTAAAAGTTGTACTAATAAATGGATTTATCAAGCTTCTGATTTAATCCATATAAATGTAACTCTAATGCATAATAACTAATACAGTGTAAATACAATAAATGGAGGTTTGGACAGAAATGACCTACAAGACATAAAATACAATTGTGATTGTGCTTGCCTCTTGGTATTATTAAATATACTTTTATATATTAAGTATAAATAAATACAATTAGGAGTATGTAATAATATCTTATCTATAGCTTCTCATCAAATCTAAGTTGATGATGTAGTGTATTGCTGCCTCTTTAGAAAACGATAGATAATGTTTAATGCATAGGGTTAGCGTTACGTGCTGTTTTCCAAAATATGACTAAACAGTGTCATGTTTTGGCTATCTGACTTTAAACATGGTATCATTTTTCAAACTTCAGAGTAATTACGCCTGTTTTGAACATAAAAACATAGCAGTCTTATTTTGGAATTTTCAAACTTTTTTGCTCTTAGTTCGGGAATTTCCCTTAAATCAAACTTTTTCGAATGCAAGACTTTGAACATTATTATGCAACCGGTTATTTCGCCGCATAATATGTCACACAAATAATGTAAACAATATATATATATATATATATATATATATATATATATATATATATATATATATATATATATATATATATATATATATATATATATATATATATACGTAGTATATATATATATATGCTGATGGATTTTAATTCTAACTACGAGAGTTAATCTACGAGAGCAGATGAAATTTAGGCAGCATAAGACAGTATTATTATCCTGGAATTCCGATCCTTGGTAGGATGTGTCAAAAAGTATTTATAGACCTTAGGTTCTAGTATTCTAGGAGAAAACCGCTACATTTAATGCAATTAATTACAATAGAGTCATGTAACGTCTCGAACGTTGTGCAATAATTGTTTCCCTCGGGTCCACGTTTCTTCCGTTATTTTCTACCGCTGCCAGATGGCTATGCTGGAATGATAACCTACCACATAAGCCCTAGGAAGAATCTGACATCCTATCGCTAAAACTCCATTCATGCTCGAGGTCCGCTGTCCAGCCTAACCTAGTTGTGGGTAAGTTTCACGGGTCGTATCCCTAATTAGGCCCATCACCTATTATTTATTATTAATCCTGATTAATGGGCCGATCCCTTCCATGCCACCTCAAATTAAAAAATGTGTGAAATTATATACGATGTAGACATGTAGTATATTGTATACTACCTCCGTTTTTTTATTAGTCCTTCTTTCCTTTTTGGGATGGTTTTTTTTATCTGTCCTCCTTTCCATTTAAGGAAAGTTTTTACTCTAAATATACTTTTATACCCCAATTTTTATTACCATTATCTCTTTCTCTTTTCCTACTTTTTCATTTACCCACTACTCATTACACCTTTTACACTACCCCTACTACTTTCCTCTTAAAACCCGTGCCAAAGCCTAAGAGGACTAATATTAAAGAACGAAGGGAGTATTGTCTTGTAAGAATTAATCTAAAATATTCTTCGAATATGTGCCCTGTTTAGTGATTACGCCATTCTCCCCATGGCGGAGCCAGACATTACACCAATGGTTAAAGGGGCCGGTCCTTAAGAATTTTATATTGCAGGGACCAAAGTTTAAAATATCAACATACTTTCTACAGATTAAAAGTATTTATACATAATATATACTTAAGAATTTTTTTTCTTGCAGGGGCCATGACCACCTCCAATTCTCCCACTTTGATTGTTTGTTATTACACGGACTAGAAATAAGTAAATGACACTAGAATTGGGAGTTGGTTATTTTCTTCAGTTCTAAGATGAAATCATTGTTTTTCGTATAGTGTCATTATTAAACTGTCCAGTTAACTTTAATTTGATTGTTCCTTCAAAAAAAAAACTTTGATAGTAACGTACTGGTAAATACGGTAGTAAAATATCTGCAGAAGTTGATTTTTGTTAAAGGGTGGCAATTTGAGTGTACAGTTAGCAAAGGGCTAAAATTTTCTCTAACTAACGTTTCAAAGTTTAAATCATTAGTGTCGGTAATCGTACATGTTGATGAACAAGATGAAACAAACATGTACCATGTTCATTCCATCTGCGACTGTACTTATCTCCTTAGCGCTGGTGGTGACAAGGATATATAATGATGTGAACGTGAAAAAGTTTCAAAGTCCAAAATTTATAAAGTAAATGATATGGTACCCAAAATGTACCATACCTTTGTCCACATGGACCAATCAAAATATTGCAGTTGAATTATTTAAGTCTAAATTAAAAATGATATACCTACTTGGATCAATCAATAAAAATGGGTACCGAAGTTCTCACCATTTATAAAATTCCAAATTCGTTGATGCCAGAAATCTAAATAAATCAAAAGATAAAAATATTTTAAGAAATCAAAGTCGATTAATAAATACTGAGGAGTATATGTTAACGCACGGTTGAAGCTAATAAATGAAAATGAAGCAACCGTGTGAAAAAAAGGAAGAGACTAACACATATACACCCCATTTGGTAACATGATTAAGCTATTCTTGAAGCAGATGAATGGGCTAAAACTCCTAAATAATGGAAAATTGATATGAAAATCAGAAAATATATAGCTAAAATCGTCATTACTATAAATTCAGACAATTCAACCGGATAATTAAGTGTAACCTTACTTATCTACATTATTACATAATGCAACGCGATAAACTAAAAATTACGTGCTAGCAAAAGGGTTGATTGATAAAGATGTAAGTCAAAAATAAGAGTCATTTGCTCGTAATGAAGATAAATGAATGTGAATGAGTAGGATGAGTTGAGATAAAACTAATTGACTTGGTTCTAGTGTGTTGACATAAACAAATTAAAAAGATAATTATTGTAGCTAATTTAATTACTATGACGAGCGAGGGCCGAAAATTGTCAAAAAGAAATTGAAAGAATGGCAAGGATATAACCCGTGGAGTTTTGATTGAGTAAAATATGACCATTTTTAATATGGACACAAAAGTGAGTTCGGAGTATTTTAAATGAATTGCATCGGCCTTTCGCACAGTCCATCGATCTCAAAGTCTTTCATCTGCATCTTATCTTATCTGTGTCTTCATTCTTCGCACCCCCAACTTGCTTGATGTGCCGCACACGCAGCCTCTCCGCCTCCTCTGTCATGTCTGG